TTTTTAGTGATGATTATTTATTTATTATAGCCTTAATCCATTACACAAGCCATATTAAAATACTAATGATTAATCTTTTATTTTAAATTAATATAAATATATACAGATAATATAGAATATAAATAAGCTTTAGAATTAATGGATAACGCTTTAAACATGACTACATTTGAGTTTAGATTTTTGAGTCTCTTTATACCTATATATATATATATATATATTATCAACTATAAACTAACTTCACTTGCACTATGGCAAGATGTTTTCTTTTAGTTGTCCTCTTTCACTGACAGCTCTTTCCACCTTGCTGTGTAAATGTATTTAAATTAATATTTCTCAATATTTTAATCTATGGCAGTGAATTGCGAGAAGTGACTCACAGTTAAAAGGCATGTACTTCCTAACGCTCGCTAGTCAGCCAATCAGTTAGCTCTACAGTAATAGCGTCACGTTACGTATTTAATATTCATAAGCCAAGCCTTCTTCATAGTAGGACCAATGGACTCGTCGGAGAGGGAGCGATGATGTAATTTGTGAAAATTTAGCCCACTCCCCCTAGACACTAGAGAGAGGCGCTGATTTGGCTTTCACATAATTTTCTGCAGAAGTTTTGTGAAGTGAGCGAGACGCAAGCTAAGAAAAACTGTCACACAGCCTCCGAGGACTAACTTTTCCGCATTTTGAGAGTGAAGATTGGACGTGCATCAACGGGACAGGCTTATAAATCGAGCCCATCATCCTGGACGGGCTGAAAAGTTTCAAGCGAGCGAAATGAACCGGAGCTTTAATAATAAATCGCAATCTTTGCGTAGCTTGAACATGAACGCAGTGGAAGTGAAAAGCAAGGTGAGTTGTGTGAAATGCATGCTTGAAAATATTTTACGAGAATAGTTTTGCTGCATAGTTACACGATGCTGTATATTTTTATGAGAAAAGTAGGAATGGCTAACTTTGGTTAGCCCATGTAAAATCATATTATGCCACATAAGATCTAGTCTGATCTTTGCATAGTTTACTCAATTTCGAGCATTTAAAAATGTTTTTTGATTTTACTTTTTATCGTTTGTTTTACTTCTGAGAATTGCGTTTGGTTTCATCAGCGTTTTTTGCTTAACTTTAACGTTAGTCGTCTCCAGTAAAATGAGTTACAGCACAACTGTTTTGGCGCTTGAACTGTCACCTTAATGGATAGTGTTTATAATTTTCATGACTTCAGATCTCCAAAAGAATAAAAAGTTGCACATTGTCGAGCACGAGTCCTCTCTCAGTACTGTGTTGGTGTAGTCTGCTGCAGCATGTGGCTCTCAGATGGGAGATCTCTGCTCTCCTCACACTCTGCTCTCTGAAGTTTGGGGTTTGTAATAATCTTCACATCAGGTCAGGTTAAATACTGTCCTCATTTCCAGCTGTCCGAAAATAGTATCCACACAACACACGGACATGTTTACACATTTGACAAGAGCAAACATGAGAGCTGATTCATTGGGATGGGCTCTATTATTTGTGTCAGTTGGACCAAGTTAAACTTTTTTTTCTTGTATTACTCACCCAAAGTACATCCTTTCACCAGCAGTTAACATGGATACTTTATTAATAAAATAGGGAAATGGGATTAGAATATCTATCTATCTGTCTGTCTGTCTCTCTGTCTCTGTATCTATCTATCTATCTATCTATCTATCTATCTATCATTTGAATATTCCTATCTATCTATCTATCTATCATTTCTTATCTATATCATTTCTTATCTGTCTATCTATCTATCTATCTATCATTTCTTATCTATCTATCTATCTATCTATCTATAATATT